ATTACAGACTCCTTCTTGAACCAAACATGGGTGAAGGGATGGATATTTGCTGTAGCTTAGACTAAACCGGGTGCATGTTCTTACCTGGGGAAGGTCAAAGTCTTCCCCTCTGTATAAGGTCTTCTGACTACTCTACTGCATCAGTAAGAAATCAGTGTGCATCTGTGCCCTCATGTGTCCTATATGTGTTTACGTGATGTAGGGGCTTTAGGCAATCAATGGGTATTCTGTATAGAGGTTACCATTCACTTTCGAGAAACTGATGAACTCTGGCTGGATACGAACACAACGTTGGTCATCCTGTGTCATCAGTGATACTTTGCTGAAGAGCTGCTTCTTTAGCCTAAGAGTTAAGAGCCCACAAGTAAAGCAGAAATTAGAGTCCATTAGGCTCTCTTACTTCTACTGAGAAGAGATGCCCCTAGTGATGTATTGATAAATGTTTAACAATTAGCTCTCTAGAAAAACTCCTAATTTGTAGTGTTGGCCAGTTTCCATTGTGTAAATGCTCCCATAATGACCCCTTTCAAATTACCAACATGATGTTCCTGAAAATGGAGATTGGAAGATGCATGCACATATGGCTGTCATAAGCTGGTGCAGGCGAGCCGTGGTACACCACTGGTATACCTTGATGCAGGAGGAGATCTGTTTTTTCCTGAGGACATGGCTGAGCACAGCCTAGAACAGTGTTTCTCAATCTCAGTTTTGTTGACATTTTGGGCTTGCAAATTCTCTATTGTGGAGCTGCTCTGTACCTTGTAGTTTATTTAGCAAACCCCTGGCCTTTACCCACTCAATGCCAGTCCTATTCCCCTTGTTGTGACAACTAATATATCGTCAGATATTTACTAAATGTCCACCGTGGGCAAAATTGCCTCCAGCTGAGAACCACTGGCCTTTGGGAAGGGAGAGTTGGCTCAATATGAAAGCTGTGCAGGTGTTTTCATGGTCTTACTAGCATTTGAGCCCAAAGAAAAGGCCTGGTGTTTACTGTGACTTTGATAAATGTCCATCTAATAATGATCTATGTGAAGCCAATGCTTTCACTTTTTTGAATGTGGATTTAAGCCTCTTTTCTGTTGATATGTGACAGGTGGGGACCCTGTATTCTGTTTATTCTCAAGGTAGTATTTTAAATGGTAGTTGAAACATTTTAGACTATGGATTTTTCATAGCTGGCTCTGCTCTAGTAGAAACTATGAATTGATCAATTCTTTCATCTCTGGGTGTGTAAAGCAATTGGCTGATTTAATCTACAAATATAGTAAACCGTTACATTATTTTCTGAATGAGAATTAAGCACTAAAATTAGAGAAAAGTTGGAAGAAAAAATACTTTATAGATCTTGATTAGGGACTTTAAATGTTAATCCAGATATAAATGGGCTGATGTTTTGTTAAATTATTTTCATGACTTGGAGGAATGGTATGGAAATGGTAAGATGAGAAAAAGAAAACTCACATGAACTGTGCAGGAATATGAACTTTGTAGTCTCAGCTGGAACACAGACTTCTCTAGAGAAAGTTGCTGTGATAGATCATACCATGAACACTTGACTAGCTCTATATTTGTGCCACAGGGGCCACCCATTTGGAATCCAGTGTGAACAAGTAAGTATCCCCTGGCCAAAGCACTGGGCATGTCCTGGCTGAGCCGTGTCACAGTTATCTGCCCTGCATCTCCTAACCATACATCTTTGGGTTAGAGCAGTGCTATTCAAAGAGTGGTCTGGGGACGGTTCCCAGATAGGGATAAATCCAGGCAGCAAACACTTAGAAACAAGTAGAGGAATTTTATGTTGCAATGACATAAAAGGATGTGATCCATTTTAGTAATTCATTTTTATTGTAGCTTTTAAAAATGTTGATCTACAAGGGATTAGGAAATCAAAACAAAACAAATAACCAACAGACTCCCAAATCTAGTTTTTTCTCACAGTTTGACTTGAGAAGTACAAGACTAGATTGCTTAATTCCTAAATTTGGCCTATTTTTAAATTACAAAATTAATTTCAAATTTCTGTCTTATACCACATGGAAGTTTCTATGAGGGTAATATTAAACTTCATGGCTCTTTTGAGGGAGGTGATAAAAAGTAGAGAAGGCAGAGTAGCTAGCTGGAGTGAAGTGAGACCATACCAATGCTCCATGGGAGAACATTGGCATTCTTCTGCCTCACTGGTTTTTTTAGGTTTCTTGTGTCCACCCTGGACCATTTGTGTTTCCCTCAGGGGAAAGATGTGGGACTGGGATCTTCACATGATATCTGAAAGTATGGAAGCCAGGAGTAGGATGTAACATACCTACCTGTGCACTCTGGCAAATACTCTGATTTTCAGCACCTCACTGTAGAGCTTAATCTCCTAGCTCCAAGACTTGTGCTACTATAACCTCTAACTTCAGTGCTAGAAGGCACATTAAATAGATTTTTGTGTTTGTTGCTTTATTTGCAGTGATCTAAGACTCTACTTACAGTTCATGATTGTAGATAAAGAAAAAAGGAAGACATTTGTTCTGTTGAATATTAAACAATGATTTAAATTTGCCTACGTGTCTTGGGCAAAAATGACATTGTTCTGAGCATCATTTTCTCTGTCACATGAGGCAAAGTTCCTTTCATGCCTACCTTCTGTGTAACAGTGTTGATATAGACTGAATATCTATGCCCCCCCCCATTTTATATGCTGAAACCCAGTGCCCAACGTGAAGGTATTTGCAAGGGAGTTCTTTGGGAGATGAAAGGGATTAGTGACCTTATAAAAGAAACCCCAGAAGGTTCCCTTGTACCTTCTGCCATGTGAGGACACAGGAAGGAGATAACCATCTATGAACTTGGAAGGGGGTCCCTCACCAGACACTGAATCTGCCAGCACCTTGGTCTTGGACTTCTCAGCCTCCAGAAGTTTAAAAAAGAAATTTCTGTTATTTTTAAGGTACGCAGACTGTAATATCGTTATAGCAGGCTGAATAGACTAAGACAAATGTCAATCCCAGTATTTGGGAATGCATAGGTGAAGGATAAGTATGATCAAATTTGCTGTGTTGGATATTGAATGCAAAACTTGCTGCCCTTTTCTAGCTTGCCCAGAGTTAAGATTCCCCTAAAGACATCAGAAGGAGTTTTAGGTTGATTAATGGCCAATTGCCACTTTTAACTTTCTCTTAATATCATTTCAGACATTTTGAAAACATAGTAAAATGATTGATACCATTTTTCATTAGTTCTATTTCAGTGGTTTCCTTTTCTGTTAATTCAATGTATATGTACTTTGCTCAAAATTAAGGTCTGACGGGAACTTTCCAGGAACTAATTGTGGAGAGGAGGAAGAGTGTTAACATGCCCTGAAATTCGTGTTCATCTGAATAATAGTGTTTTTAGATGTTTATTTAAACTATGAAATATATTTGTACAATCTTCTGTCTCCTATAACAATAGACTGCTAGATCTATTTTTTTTTTTTTAAGTCTGGTTGCTTCTTATTTTATTTATTTATTTATTTTTTACCTCAAATTCTTCCTTTCTAAAGGACATCTTCACATAATTATCATCAAAAGCAGAACTTTGTTCCGTACTGTCCTTTTCCCAACTTTTACATGGTTACTGGTAGTGACATCAAATTCAAATTTTTCTTGTTTCTCTTATTTGTCACTTAGGTGCAGTTTCTCATTGAGTTCTATTGTTTCTTCTTATTTTTAGGTATATTTCTTTTTACTGATCCCCTTTCCAAGTGTGTTGGAAATGGGGCAATCACTAGGTTTCATGTTCCCCTCTTCCAGTCTGTCCTTCATATAGGGGAAAGGATCATCTTCTTTTCTTCTCCTGTGCTGTTCTCAATTCACTAAAGATTCATTCCCATTTGGATTAAATTTGCCCCATCTAATGAACTTGAGGGTTCACCATGACTACCAGTAATCATGATTGTTCAGTACTTCTGAAGGAATAAACAAAAACATAAAAAAATTTGAAACTCATTTTTTTGGTTATAATTACTATTATGATTTAGATTCTACTACTTATATTCACATAAATATCTTCCAAAAGAGTTGGTTTTCTTGACTTTAGTCATAGCTTCCTCATTTATAGGATTGCTGGGCTGTGTGTGTTTGTGTCTGTGTGTGTGTATTTCTCTGCAGTAGGCTCTGAGGAGTGTGTTTATAACCTGACCTCACAGAGAAGAGGAATCTGAACAGCCATCCTTGGCATGCTGACTCAGCCTTGAGCTGGATGGAGGATGTGGGGGCTGAGGTCAAATGCAGGGGTAGAGTGGGGTAGCCCACATCTTGAGGATGGAAATGAGGGATAGCCAGCAAGATGTGGTTAAAGATGGGCAAGGGAGCAGGAATCAAAGAAGAAGAAAATCATATCCCATGAGGCTGGGTACTGATGTGAAAGCCACTTTGAGACAGTGAGATATCATTGCTGCTAAAGATAGCAGGACAAGGAGAACAGGGTTGTGAGAGAAATAGAAATTGGGAACTGGAGATTTTTGGATATGCTAGAATAAGTGCCAGCTATCTTTTTTCAATGTGACTAGGGCCTTGGCAATGGGCAGGAAGAGAAAGGGCACCAAGCTAGTTCAGACAAGTGACTAATGGAATGTTAGGATTTTGGGGTGATAACAGTAGTTGGCTCATAATGACTGTATATATGTGCCAGCATTGGGCAGATACTCATTAAAAGGCCTTCCTGATGCTGGGAAATATAATTAAGAAACCACGGACTTCTTTAATGTAAATTTAATGTTTTTTTAGTAGTAATTACAATACTAACAAGTATATTATTTAGCCCTCATTTTGTGCTAGTATATTCAGAATCTCATCCTCAGTGGTAGACTGAAAAACACAGCCATGTGATTTTGCAGCTTTCTGATTAAGAGGTGTCATCTATTTCATACCCTTTGACTCTGGGCTGATCTTGTGACTTGCTTTGACTGATAGAATGTGGTAGAAGAGCCTAAGCCTCAAGAGACCTTACAGTTTTCTCTTCCTCTTTCTTAGAACATTGCTGCGTCCATGTGAGGAAGCCAATCTATCCTTCTTGAGGATGGAAGACTATATGGAGAGAAAGGCTGAGTTGTCCCAGCTGACCCCAGGCCCAGCCAACACTCCATCTCAATTCCAACACGGTATGAACCCATGAAAAACAAACAAATGAACCACTCAGCCAGTCCAGACAATTGTGAGAAATAGAAGTCAGTAAGATTTGAGGTGCTTTGTTAGGCAGTATTAGATAAGTGATAAACTTATACTTTTGATAAGCCTGACCTTTGGCATATGTACTCACCCTGAACGCTGATACAAATATAAAAAAACTCAAGTTCTAAGGCAGAACCACCCAGTATGTCATTAAATACCTCTTTCTACATCATTGAAGAATCTTTCAATAATTAATATAACTGGACAGAAATTTTGCTGTTACAAAATAAAGATTGACTACCACTGCTTTCAGTTCAGAGAGAATTTAATATCCTGAAAAAAGAAGTGTTTACCCAGGCATTAGGTCTCACATTTAAGTCTTAGTAGCTTTAGATAGAATTAGAGCACAGTATTTCTCCAATCCTGATAATCAGCATCAAAAACAAATAGGAGTTCATGTTAAAATGTGAGTATCTAGACCCACCGCAAGCAGTAATCAGTAATATTATTTTTAATTTCTAAAATACTTTTTCTAATGGCATTCCTTTTAAACATAATATCTATGGTATCTACTAGAAAGGCTAAAATAGAAAAGACACTACATTAAGTATCAGCTAGAAAGTAGAACAGAACTCTCATACACTGCTCCTGAGATTGTACATGGGTAAAACCACTTGTCAGTATTTACTAAAGATATTTATGACCCAGGAATTCCAATCCTGGGCATATTCCCAACAGAAATATATACAGGTGTTCATGTAAAGGCATTATTAAGATGTACATAACAACCCTAATTTTAGTAGCACCAAATTAGAATTACTCAATGAGTAGTTTCAATGCCCATCAATGTAGAATGGATATTAAAAGTTGGAATACTATACAGCAATGAGAATGAATAAACTACAACTGCAAGTTACATAATGGATGAGTCTTGTAAACATAATGTAAAGCATAAGAAGCAAGAATAAGAATGCATACTGCATGATTCCATTTCTTTAAGATAAGAAAAAGGCAAAACTAATCTATGGTGTTCAAGAGTCAGGATAGTTATTACCCTTAGTTGGGGATAGTGACTGAGAGGAGCCATAGGGAGTCTTTTGGGGTTCTCTGTGTTTTGTTTAGAGTGCTGGTTAGTTGGATGTGTTTGGTTTGTGGAAATTTATTAAGCTGCACCACTTACAAATTGTACACTTCTCTAGGTGAATATTATGCTCAATAAAAACTTCACATTTACAAAATAAATGATGGGATATTAAGGATAAGTTACTATAACCTTCCTTTATGTGTCTCTATAATCTCTCCCTATATTTCTTGTGAAGTCCTTCAATGTGAACATTTGGAGAGTTAAGAGAAATCAATACTTTTAATTAAAAATATATATGTGCCAGAATAGCCAATGCAATATTGAAGGAGAACAAACTTGGAGAACTGACACTACCTGACTTCAAGACTTACTAAAGCTTCAGTAATCAAGACAGTGTGATATTGGTGAAAGAGCAGACAAACAGATCAATGTAAGAGAATAGAGAGCCCAGAAGTAGACCTATATAAATATAGTCAACAAAGGAGCAAAAGCAATACAATGGAGCAAACACAGTGATCTTTTCTATAAATGGTGCTAGAAAAACTGGACCTCCACATGCAAAAAAATGAATCTAGACACAGACCTTACATGCCTCACAAAAATAAACTCAAAATGAATCATAGACCTAAATGTAAAACATAAAAAACATAAAAATATGAAATTCCTAGAAGATAACTTAGGAGAAAACCCATATGACCTTGGGTATTGCAATGCCTTTTTAGATACAACAGCAAAGGCATGATCATGAAAAAGGTAATCGATAAGCTGGACTTCATTAAAATTGAAACCTTTTTCTCTTTGAAAGATAACCTCAAGACAATGAGAAGACAAGACACAGATTGGGAGAAAATATTTGCAAAAGGCATAGCTGATAAAGGATTATTCTCTAAAATATACAAAGAACTCTTAAAATTCAACATTAAGAAAATGAAGAACCCAATTAAAATGTAGGCCAAAGGCCTTAACAGACACCTCACCAGAGAAGTTATCCATAGGGCAAAAAAGCATTCGAGACGATTCTCTGCATCGTAAGTCATCGGGGAAATGCAAATTAAAACAAAAACGAGATAGCAGGACATACCTACCTGAATGGCCCAAATCCAAACTACTCACAACACACAAGTGCTGAGGAGGATGTGAAGCAACAGAAACTCTCATACATTGCTGATGAGAATGCAAAATGGAGCAGCCACTTTGGAAGAGGATTTGGTGGTTTCTTATAAAACTAAATATACTCTTACCATGTAATCCAGTAATCACACTCCTTGGTATTTACCCAAAGGAGTTAAAAACTTACATCCACACAAAAATCCACACATGATTGTTTATAGCAGCTTTATTTGTAATTGCCAAAACTTGGAAGTAGCCAAGATGTCTTTCAATAGGTGAATAGAAAAATAAAATGTATATCCAGATAGTGGAGTATTATTCAGCACTAAAAATAAACAAGCTATCAAGCCATGAAAGGACATGGAAGAACCTTAAATGCATATTAGCTAAGCAAAATAACTCTATTTAAGATGGATTCATACTGTATGATTCCAATTGGATGACATTTTGGAAAAGACAAGACTATAAAAAGAGTAAAATCAGTGGTTTCTGGGGGTTGTGAGAAGGGAGGGGTGAATAGGCAGAGCACAGAAGATTTTGAGGTGAGTGAAACTATTCTCATATTGTAATGAAAGATGCATGTCATTATACATTTTTCTAAACCCAAAGACTGCACAATACCAAGAGTGAACTCTAATGGAAACTACTGATGTTGGCTGATTATGATGTGTCAATGTAGGTTCATCAGTTGTAACAAATATGCACTCTGGTGGGGGATGTTCATAATGTAGGAGGCTATACATGTGTGACAGCAGGGGTATTTGAGAAATATTTGTACCTTTCTCTCAATTTTGCTGTGGACCTAAAACTGGTCTAAAAAAATCTTTAATAAAATATATATGTGTGCAAATGTATTTGCACACATATATATTTCTTTTGTATCTCTTCCTCCCACCATCTACAAAGCAGCTCACAGTTATCTCTGTAGGCAGTGGGGGGAAATATTATGAAATCTAGAACATATTATTTGTGAGAATTGCAATGATGGATTGATTGGTTTTCTATGGAGTGCTTCTTCTCCCTGATGCTGGCAGACCTTATTTAATCAGCCTTTCCATCCTCAGGCCCTGGATAAATAGCACTGCCAACTAGCCTACCCTTTCTCCATCAATACTATTCTAAGACTATCTCTTTTCTGTCCAGGGATCCCTTTTGTAGTCTTGGAGGTTGTCTTTCTGTGTTATTTAAAAAATTTATTGATATAGTATGACTACCCCATCTTTATTCTGTCTGTGTAATCTTTAGCCATGATTCTTTCTCCATTCACCACTCCTTAAAAATGTTATTTATGACTTGAATTGATTATAACTAATCTCATTTAGATGCTGAATTTTGTATATAGCCCTTCAACTGGTTTTAAACAGCATCACTGATATGGTGGTCTCTTAGGTGGCTTAAAACTTAACAGCCAGCTTGCATCTCTCCATCAGTTCACAGTATGTATTTATTTTTTCCTTTGTACCCACAAAACCAGAGAAAGTTGTCCAGCCTGGGGTGGATGAGTAGTGGTGTAGGGGATCAACATTTGTTGAAGTCTCTCATATGTGTTTTTATAGGCTTTATATAAATTATTTTATGTAATCCCCATAGTATCCTGAAAGGAAGATATAAGTGTTCTGATTTTACCCAGTGATGGAGCTCAGATTCACCATCCAGGACTCTCTCTAAATCCCATAACCATTCCATCATATGGAGACATAAAGCCAGGTAAGTCCTTTTCTTTCTTCCTTCACTCAGTGACTCGGGGGGTATTGCTGCAGCCTCCAGCTACTGTGCCAGCAAGGTCTACAGTGACTGTTTGCAATGAGTTTACCTCTTTACCCCAAACTTTCCTGAGTGGTTAACAGAAAACAGTTGACTCTGAAGCTTAAGTGTGGAATGGAATCCAAGGACTCTCTGCCTTTGGTAATGGTTGTATGAATAAACACCTGTCAAATACACAGGATTTCACAGAGGGGATATCTGGGTAATATTTTAATTAGGGACTAAAATATCCTTTTTTTTAAAAAAAAAGATTTTATTTATTTATTCATTCATTCATTCATTCATTCATTCATTCATTCATTCTAACTTACTATGTAACATCCATATTTAATTTGTGAATCTTTTCCCCTAGCATGTAAGTGCCTTGAGGGTAGACAATTTGTCTGTCTTGTTCTCTTGAAAACAGTGTCTGACCCACAAGGAATATTTGTTAATTAAATAAATGCACATTCCACATTTGATGTCTGATTAGTCTGTGTTTCTCACTTATTTTTTGAGAATGTTCTTTCAATCCACTCCTAAGAGTACGCTCCAAAGTTTATGGGTCATTTGGGACTCTGGGTTGGTGGGCTCAGGCCATTCCCATATTGACTTACTAGTGTATCTGGTCAGAGTTTCTTCCAAAAATTCATCTCTCAAGTTTTCATGCGTGAACAGCTGGATAGTACTATGCCAAATATTGATGTTGATTTCTGGACATTTTAAAGTTATGGACATAAAAACAAGGAATAAAGCTTTTAAAATTTATTTATTTTTTTTAGTTTTAGAGGGCTGACACTGAAATAGCAATTTTAGGGAAACTGTAAATATACCAATAGAGTTCATTTTTAGTACCCTTCAAAATATGTTTTTGGTTACATAAGAGCTAAAAGTCGTATATGGTGTGTTACTCTGGGTCCAGCTAGGGGAACAGAAACCATACTAACTCTTTTAATAGGGAGAATTTGATATAGAGAAATAATTAGGATAAAGAGGGAATACTAAAGTAATTCAGAGTAATTGGAGATACCACCTCTAGGGCTGAGCAAACAA